TGCCCAGTGTTGTATTGTTTTCTAGCTTTCTATACAGTGGCGTTTAACTGTAAATACGAGCGGTGTATATGTTTTTCTAGTACCTGGCTGCAGCCTGTGTCATATCAAAAGGACACAGCCGTCTTGGGACACAGCCTACAGAACACATCCCTGAGACACGTCCCATGGATAGATAACCCTAGATATATATATATATATATATATATATATATATATATATATATATATATATATATATATATATATATATATATATATATATATATATATATATGTATATATTTACTCGTTGTTTTTATATTAGCCTTTGTAATTAAATTCTGTAAATCTGATATTTTTTATACATCCTCCCAGACTGGTCCAAATCATCGGACCCAAACACGTTACAATACATGATAATTGAACCTCCAGAAAATTTTTATGCCCCTGGATCGAAAGATCCCGGGGGTATATTGTTTTTGTCCTGTCTGTCTGTTTATCTGTCTGTTGTCAACTTTAACCTTGCCCATAACGTTTGATTGGTTGGAGCTATGACTTTCATATTTCACATGTGTATTTCTTGTGACAAGACTTTTCTTTGGGTACCATCATTTTTGACCTTGACCTTGGAGTTTGACCCACTTTTGCAAAATTTTATGAGACTTTAACCTTGGCCACAACTTCTGAACAGTTGGAGCTTGGGGTTTCAAACTTCACATGTGTATTCTTTGTTACAAGACCTTCCTTTGGATACCAACCACTTTGACCCTTTGACCTTGACCTAGGAGTTTGACCTACTTTTGAAAAACTTTAACCTTGGCCATAACTTTTGATTGTTTGATGCTAGGGCTTTCATACTTCACATATGTAATCCTTGTGACTTCACCTTCCTTTGAATACCAACCACTTTGACCCTTTGACCTTGACATAGGAGTTTGACATACTTTTGAAAAAACTTTAACCTTGGCCTTAATTTTTGAATGGTTGGTGCAAGGGCTTTCATTCTTCACATATGTAATCCTTGTGACAAGACCTCTCTTTGGATACCAACCACTTTGACCTTGACATAGGAGTTTGACCTACTTTCGAAAAACTTTAACCTTGGCCATAACTTTTGAATGGTTGGTGCTAGGGCTTTCATATTTAACATTTTTTATCTTTTGGCCTGGATTTTGACTTGCCTTTGAGAAACTTTAACCTTCGCCATAAGCTGCCATACGGGGGCATCAGTGTTTCACAAACACATCTTGTTATTTATATTTTTTGGGTGTATGTTCTTTGAAAGACTTTTTTTGCACAACCGCCAACATGGACGTAGGAACGAGAAAATTTCAAATTGACATTCCAAAACCATAAAGGCCTGTTTGGAACCATTGAAAGGTAAATATAGTATTAAGAATAGGAGTAAAATATATAGTTCATTAGCGGATACCATGTTAGAAGCGGGGGAACGCATAAAATACAAGAAATAATGCCCGATGCGCAGCGACAAAAAGGCGGCGACGTAAATCGATGGTTTATATAATGCTTGGATCTGTAGCTCTCTGGTTTATCTGTCCGAATTTTCTCAACGAGAGAGGCACAGTTCTGCAGCTATGGTGATGGTATGTGCATCTGTATCCGGGTCAATGAAATTAAGAGAGAGATTTACTTTCGAATGGTCGTTACCTTCCTTATCTAAAACGTCATACACTTCCAACAGTCATTAATGATAGTTGTACAGGTAGTATGTTACTTTTGATAATTCCTAAAGTGTCTCTTGATCTGTATGTAACGTTTAATACCTCTTTCAATCCTCCCCCCCCCCCAAACCCAAACACCATCAACTTTTCTACCCTTATGAAACTTCCGTTTCCCAAATTTCCACTAATTTTCCCGAGTCCCTTATTTTCTCAGAATCCTTCTCCAACATGCAGATACACACCTCACGGGAATAATTAAACAAATCTACAACTGTCTAACATCCTATGTCTAACTCATGACGAACGAAAGATTCGCTAGCCTTATATTCCCAAAAGTTTGTAATTAAAATTAATTTTTCCAGTGTTAGTTTGTGATTTTCAAACCAACTTCCAATTCTTATCGATACTTTTTTTCAAACCAACTTCCAAATATTATCGATACTTTATTATGACAGTGTTTGTTGGAACATCTCCACACATCTTGATCATTTGAACAACTTGATTTTTTTTCTCAGTCCAAATTTTCTTGATTCACATTTACCATAGGTAAGTCATTTCAGATCAATAAGAACACACAATCAATCAATCAGCGAATCAAAAACATTTCATATAAATATCTTTCAATTTCAATGGCATATTTACAAACACATCTGATTTTTTTGAAGTCATAGGAATGCTGACGTATCTCATTAATATTTATAAAGTCATGTAACGCAATTCCTAAACAACGAACGTGGTTTTAAATGAACAATGATAACGCTATGGATATGTTTTATTTTTAATTTAAAAAGACTTGTGTTATTAAGGACGTACAACACACCCACCACCAAAAAATTCCTGTCGTTTAATTTTCGCTATTTTTGTTTATACATGACTCTATATACAATGTGTATACACATTTTGGACAAAATCGTTCGAGTCGTATTTGGACAGGAAGTTCCAAAAATTACCCCCCTTTGGTTGTTCACGCGGAGAATAAATTTTCAATCGGCTAGCTATAAAATCCTTGATTTTCAAAAAATCCAGCTAGTCTGGCTGTCAAATTTCTTCGATTCATTCATTTAACCATTAACCACACAAATAAGTATTTTTATAGAGGTACACATCCCCAAAACATTTTTTGAAGAACTTAAACTGAAAAACTATGGTTAATTTAACCCTTTAACTACATGTACCAGAGATTTCGCATTTTTCTGAAAACTGACTAAAAAACAAATAGAAATTTAGATATTTTCAAGTCACTTTTACATAATGCAACCTAATATTTTCTGAAAGGTAAAATCTTAAAGTTTTCAATTATGCAAAGAAGTATGGCGTAATGGTTGTCTTGGCAACAAAATGAGCCACAAAACTGCGAAAAAGCGTTGTTGTTTTTTTTACCTTTCTCATTCAATAAACACATAAAAAAATTATTGAATAATAACTCAATCATATTATTCAAATAAAGATTAAAACGTTTTACTTTAAAATGTAGTACTTTTTATCAGTCTTCATTTAAAATTATTTCAGAATTGATTTGAGTGAAATACTACTTTTTGTTTGAAATAATTGATTCATAATTGACAGTATGTGAAAAAAATACAAAAATGTATCATCTTACATTAGATACTTACATAGCAGTCAATATATACATATAAATATATGGACAAAAACATCTACATAAAAATCTAGATATGACATCAGAATAAAAATTTGTTTCCATGGTAACAACTGATACATATATGGAATTAAGTAAATCGTTACATTTACAGGCATATAATTAGAAATTTAACAAAACATTGTATGATCAGGGAAGCACAATTAACTTCCATCTCGGGAAAGCTAAAACAAATCACTTTAGGTCTCTAAAATAGTGATTGTCAGAAAAATGACAGGTATATATGCACATTCAATTTGAATTGAAGTAAATACACTTTCATAACAATATTGCAGTATGATCTGCATTTGAAGAAATATTAGCCAATATAAATGGAAATAGATCAAAAAATGTTCACATTGAAAGAACTTTCAGAACATGTACATTTTCTGTGCTATGCTAACATGATGAAGTATTTTACATGTAGATCTGAATACTTATACATACTTAATATTTTGAAAGGAGGAGTTATTTATTAGACAAAATGCACCAAGGAGATACATGTATTTATAAGAAACTGACAATTATCTCCTGTTTACCAACCCTGGAGTAGTAAAAATTCAAAGACAAAAAAAGTAGACATGGTGCAACTGATTTTGAACGTGATATGTTTGGAATCATATACCTCTACACAAACAAACATTGCAAATATTGCACCCATATACAGTCTCTCGTCTTACACCTTGGGAACTGCACCATCTGCATCGCCTCTTACTTTCATTTAGTTTCACATTCATGTGGCGTGCTATACTCGCTGTTGTAATTGGAGGGTGATGTGGCTGAACTTGTATTCTCTTGCGACTAGAGAAGTCCCCAATCAAGCACTGTGCAATATCCAACGAAAAGTCATTTAGTGAGTAATGAATGTTAGGTTTTACTGTACCTGGGGTGTTCAACCATAGAAGAAGGCTGTTGATAATGGATTTTTCCAAAATGAAATTCATAAAATACTTCCAGAATTTCTTGGAAGGTCTTCCAACAGGATTCTTTGATCTATACTGTTGTGACCGGTCCACTCCACAGTAGTGTTCTTGGTAGTGCTGAACAGCTGGAGGGTGCTGAAGTAAAACAACACCACCACCCCTTACTTGCCTGACTGCAGGTTCATTCCCCAGCGGATTTGATGTGGTGGACAATATACATGCACCTACATTTACAATAGCATATTTATGTCGTAAAAATGTTATTTCTTGAGGAAGCTTCAGAACACTGAAAATTGCAACAAACTTGATACTAATCTTACTGGTTTGTTATCATTCCATACAGTAAAAACCATGTTTCCATATATATATTATATTATCTGTACAACAGGTAGAATTTAAAATGATTCCAGTATAAATTCATCCTGCAAATCCAGAAGTGGGGGGGGGGGGGGGGGTTTCAGACGACTTATCGGAGATCAAAACAGATCTCATAAAAATATTTAATTTTTAAAAATGTATGTTTGACTTGACTTAGATGATAAGTACACAGGCAAATTGGGAAAATGAATTAGTGTAAGTATGTTGAGAGTTCTGAAAATCTGCTTTAGCAATGGAGCCCATACCCTAACCCCCCCCCCCCCCATTTCACAAACTCCTTGATCTGCCTATAACAAAGATGTGTGTATAGATACATTTTACATCAAAACACATATCGCATAAATAAAAACCTACTAAAAAGTATTTGTTACAGATATCAATTTTTTGTATAATAGTTAATCATTATACCTTCAGTCCTCTTTTTATTGGCTTGGATGGAGTATATTGGCGGGCGTAATGGTGCCCCTTGTACCTCACCATTCCCTCATCAATACTTTGACATTTTCCTGGTCTGTAGTACTTCTTGAATGCTTCTCTTGTTGCATTTACCAGAGTACGAAGCTTATGTAATCTACAAAATTAAAACCAAATATGGATTATCAAGGTTTTACAACTGAGTAAAATTAAAAAAAAAACAGAATATTTTCATTACTAATGTGATGACACACTGGTAATAAGCTATATGGTCAAAGAATATTAACTTCCACATTCATATATTGCTCTATTAATTTTAAAATGAATTAATATATTCCATCATACATGTTCGTAAGAAAATTCTAGATACCTGTCATACTGTGGAGATCCTGGAGCTCCTTCTTTACTGTTGTCATTGAGGTGTAAGTACTGAGACAGTTTTGTAAATCTGTTCCTGGTCATGCATTCTTTGAAACCCTGGTTTCCTAAAATACAGCAAAATACATGTAACAGCCAAAACAGGTAAATTTAGACTCTCTTTCTCTCCTAATGTTTTCTGTTCTTGTGGCTATTCGTGCATTAACAGTTTGTGTACATATAATTTGCATTATGCTTGCATTATTATTACTGTCACATGTACAAGGAAATTGATTTTTCGGAAAAATGTATTACCTGTACTTAGTTTGAAAAACCTACTACTACACCTCTCCCTCTCTCATTTTCTCTCTATTTATTTAATTACCTAAACTCACCTATATATTTGTTATCAGACCAGTACATATGGATATCTGGTAACTGATTGATCCCCATCAGAATCCACAAGCCAAAATACGCCTTCACTTCTCTTTCGTTTGTTGGGGTCCAGTGAACGTCGGGCTGTCCAGTTCTTTCAGCTGTCTGTTCTGCATACCTGTTAGTTTCCTCGGCTATCTTTCCGAAAATTGTTTTTGGTAACATCAGCAGAAAGTATCGATATACATGGTCTAAGGGATCAAGATCATGGGACGGACCATGCTCTTCTTGAAACTCAGCAATCTCTATATTGTGAAGTTCATGGGACCAGATATTCGATCTCGCAAATGTCGCTCAGCTGACTGTCTGATGTACACAGAGATGACCGAGTTTGTTGTGACTCTGAGTCACTGTCTGTTTCAGATGAAAATTCTTCATTACCGGACTCATCTACACTAATATCTGATCCATCAGACAGCGAAACTTCAGAATCTGTATCACTTTCCCCGCTATCGTCCATTATGAATTTATGCGCTGTTTACATAACAGTCATGGCAACAAGGAAAAGGAGCTAAATCAAAAAGATAGCTTCAGAAAACCGTAGGGTATAGGGTAAACTGATCGTGAGTCGGAAAAGTCTAGTCAAGGAAAAAAAAAATTTAATACTGTGAAAATAATCCGCATTAAAATTGAATTTTTTTTTTTAATTTTTTTTTTTTATCAAAATAAAAGTAATACTACACTGGGATTTTCCAATTATTTTTTGATGGCATTGGCAAATAAGAATAGTCATATATACATTCATATGTAATATATACATGTATATATATCATATTTTTATATATCATTATTTCACTCTTTCTGAAAAAAAATATATTGTTAATTACAATTACATGATTTATTATTACCAATAAATTCAACACGTATCACTGACACAGTTCAACTAGTATGCAACAGGATAAACACCGAATGTCAAAGCAACTGCGCGCTACATATCGGCGCTTTTGGTCAAACTGTAACATTTTTTATATATTTCCCCAAGTATGGGAGAATTTCTTTGTTCTATGCTTATGTTACAAAATATCTAATGAATTTATTATACTTTACAAGTACATGTAAAATCAAATTTTCCTGATCAACTTGTTTATTACATGTGGAGTTAATCAGAATTGTTTCATTTGTAATACTTTCAGAAATTGAAATGGTGTCATAGAACGTTTTCGGTTTTTAACTCGTAAAAGTCCCAACTTTCAAGAACAAATAAAAACTGTAACAGTTTCACGTACTATTATTATTCCCATAATAAAAAATGTAGTAAAAATGTCCAGCTTTTTGATTCCGGCAATCGTTTTTGTTTACGGTTTTATGTAAAAAAGTTCTTATCAACAGAAGATAGCTAAAATTCAGTCAATTCAGTATAATTTTATCAACTTCTTGCAATGGTATGCGAAATTCACTTCAAGTTTTCGATAATTTCTAAACATCGCACAGAAAAACTTTGAGTATAGAAAATGTTTAGTTTTTCCTCTAGTTTCCGAAAATATAATTTGTTTTGTTGTATTCCAATTATTTATAAAACACCAACAGTTTATTATCTGAAACGTTGAAAAGGCGTCACTGGGCGTTAAAGGGTAAAAGCCCTGAAAAATGCGTATTTTTCAATTTTAATTTTTTTTTCGAAAAAACCTATCGTTTAATTTTGGAAAAAAATACTTTTTTTCATGTAACTGGTTACAAAAGTAATCTTGATAATTTTTTGCAATTCTTTTTAAACGAGTCGTTTTGAATTAAAAGCGAAAAATCACCCCCCCCCCTTTTCTCCTTAAGTCACGTTTCTCAAGCGTCTTTCAGACGTGGGACGAAAACATTGTTAGATCTACAAATACACGAAAAATTCCAAGCTAGAAAATATCATTTGGTTTAAAAAAAATTATTTACATTATATATCACAGTTCTTAAAACTTTTCAATTCATTGAAATTCAGATGTATAGGCAATTTTTGACGAAGCCCCCCCCCCCCTTTTAGGACGCAGTCATTAGAGCTTGATGAAACGTAGGTTACCCTCGAGATATATATTTAATCTTTTAAATCCCTGAAGAAGTACCAATTAATTAATTCGTGCAGATTTAAATTCTGACAACTAGAAAAAGAGTTAAACTATCAACTACTGTAATAAAAGTAAAACTTATTCTCTAAGGATTTTATGTCCACGTGTCCAATATGTAGGTCCATACACATGGCTGACATGCATTTAATTTTATACCTGCGTATGAATTCAACTTACATTGAATTTTAATCTTATTTTTCATTACAAGTGAACGCACAATGTTGAATATATTCAACTCTTCTATTATGTAAACATATTTGGTAAATGGAATATATTGTTTCTTCTCTATTTCAAACAAGAGAGGAGTCTAAAAGTACCCCCCCCCCCTCTTGTATGCATCCTTCTGTTGCTTCTATATATAAAATGGAAATTTCGTATTCGTCTACATTAACTTCAATTTATCAAACTGTAAATTCTCATCTATGTTAAAATTATTCATGTGTCAAAATATTCATGTACAGTGATACATGTATGAAACTTTTTGTTTTGATTCGAGGAAATGCGCACTGAAATTATCTAGAGAGTCGGATAAGGCCAGTTTGTCGCATATAAGATATTCGTGAATTCGGGCCATTTCAGTAAACAATTCTGTTACATTTTCGGTACTTACTTAGTACATATTATAGTTTTCAGCTCCTGACTTCATCAGAATTCATTGTGTCTTTATAACTGTTCGACAAACAGGAGGAAAGAACTCAACTATGGGAGGGGGGAAATCTCCCACATTTTTAGAGTTGTTCCTCTTTGATCAGTGAACTTTTGGAAACGGGTTGTAAAACTTTTTTTTTTCTAAAGGAGAACAAAACAGTATTTATATGGCTAATTCTTTATTTGAAGACAAGCCCGTGATCTAGTAATGCGAATGTTACATAGCCAACTGTATAACAAAAGAAAGCAATGTATCATAAATATGTATCATAAAAAGTTAAAGAATATTGTTGTGCTTATATTGATCACGGATAAGAGTTTCATATAAAATTAAAGAAATTTAAGACAAAATCTTTCTTTTCTTCCCTTTTTATGGAGGAGGGGTGGGTTTTAAATCAAAAGCACAAATAATCAAGGATACGATTTGGTATTTCTAAAGAAACCACATCAAGCCCCTAATCCCTTTTTCTTATAATTACGTCGGGATCGATTCGGTCGTCATTTTGACGCTTTATTATAAACGTCAAATTTGACGTCAAGTTAAACATTTAATTGAAATTGCAAGAATTATCTGCCCCAGTGTTTTGTACGTCTTTAAACGTCATTTTTCACGAAGAACTCAAATTTGTGCTTATTTTTGCAAATTTTGGCCATTTTAGCAATTTTACCGATCGCTCACGCGATCGTATAATAAATACTACACCGCCTTCGGCGGCATATGTTTTAGCGCCATATTTTAAGGACCGGCATACTAGAAGTGTTCCCAAAAATGCTTTAATTAATACGAAATCATCGCCAGATTTTAAACCTAATCAGCAAAACTTAAAGGCAATGATTTATTTAAAACAATGATACAGATCATCAATTTAACTTGCTGCTATGGAGCTGCATAGCGACAGAGAAGGTTAACATATCTCTAACACAAGCGTATTCTTAATTAACTTCAAAAGCGCAAGGGCATAGACTAGACTGTTAAAGCTGAAATATAGAATGTCAATTGCTTATATCATGTATATTTCAAAAAGTGCTGGGATTCTGGTCTGTTTATCATTATTTTTATTCATTAAAGAATCGGAAGGTTGTGTGTGACCCACGTCGATAAAAATAGGTTCCTTCGCCAAGCGCTTGGCACCTTGAAGTGAATGAAACCGGAAAAACCGAGGTCCCGTATCACGGTAGGCTTTAGCACGATAAAGAAACCTCGCTGCTCAATTGCCCTAAGTGCCGTGTAAAAGTCTAAATTTGAAGCCCTTCACCGGTATATGGTGGCGTCTCTATATGAGTGAAAAATTCTCGAACGGGACGTAAAACAACATACAGTCAATTCATATATATATATATATATATATATATATATATATATATATATATATATATATATATATAATTAAATGAAATTAAAGTCTTTTGCCTTAAAATGATTGGAAAAGTCTCATAAAATATTCAAAAGATCTAAGCAATTATAAATTAACTTCAAAATTTTGAGAAATAATCTCTAGATTATCTAGAATTATAATGTCGCATCTCTTTTTATGAAAATAAAAAAAATTTTAGTCTTATTTCTATAAAAACTGAGAAAGTCGTTCATTTATACTTATTAGGTAATTGATTAAAGGATTAACTCGTTAATTAAATTACTGTATATCTAAAGACAGAAGGAATAACCTATTTCCTTACACTTACTTAGATGATTTTTGTTACGTATATTCGCCAAAAGTAAAGCTGAAAAAGTACCAACAATAATTTACCGGCTGTGAATTGCCCCATCTTTGACACGTTTAAGAATTTAACATTAAAGACGTTTGGATAATATACTGTCAAACCATTTTTAGTCATTATTATTGTACTATTTTCTATGTTTTTGATTGTCAAGTCATTGAACACAACTGTATATAGCTGTTATTGTATGATTTGAGTAATATTGTTGTATTGTTCTTTCTGTCATTTATTTCCTCAATAAATGACCATTCTAATTCCTACTGAATGTGTTGTGTTAGTGCTTAGGTTGTGTTAATGTAATATAAGTCACGTGCCAAACAGAGCATCACCCTATGATTGATTGATTGATTGATTGTTGTTTTACGTCCCATTCGAGAATTTTTCACTTATATAGAGACGTCACCATATACAGTCCATGAAACGTTCTACTTTCCCATTTTTCTGTTCGCTCATCGTTCGTTCAGCGTGCGTTCACCGTTCGTTCAGCGTGCGTTCACCGTTCGCTCTCCGTTCACAGTTTTGCGTTCACCGTTCACCGTGCGCTCGCGTTCACCGTTCACAAAGCGTTCAGCGTTCGCTCTTCGTTCCGTTTACTTTGCGTTCACCTTGCGTTCAGCGTTCACCTATCGTTCAGTTTTCATTGTCATTCGGAACTCCGAAGTGAAAGGACTTATCTTTTTGTAGTTAAGGAGTTACAGGTTTTTTTTAATTTATTAACTAACATATCGTGTTTGAAGAATCATTATTTCATGAGGAAAAATATCTACGATATATATTTTTATTATTCTAACTTAGCTGTTAGGTTATTTATTAAATTACTCTGGAAAATAAATGTTGTTACAAGCACATTCTGT